ATATTCTTTTCATATTCTTTTCATATTCTTTTCATATTCTTTTCATATTCTTTTCATATTCTTTTCATATTCTTTTCGTATTCTTTTCGTATTCTTTTCGTATTCTTTTCATATGTACTCTTTCATACATAATTTTAAGATAATAAAAATGACAGTAAAATAAGTAAATTTAAATGATTAATTAGTAAATCCGAATCAGGAAATTTATTATTAATCCAATTAATTTTTTCTTTTACATTCTTCATTTGTTCATCAGACATCTTTAATTTCTTTTCAAAGAAATAATCTTATGTTTCGATTTTGATAAAAAAATTTCGCCTCGACTCTGAGTTTCGAACCTAAAAATTGTTATAGTTTAGGTAATTATTATTTGTTTTATTTATGATTTCTCATTGATTACCTGATACGATTTGTAACTGCTTTACAGATATGCGGATGGATCCGAATGTGCATAATTATTTATAGGTTCCCGAATTCTCAAATTCTTTTCTCATGTGTTTGCTAATTTGGTTTTTAATTACTCAAAGTAAATATAAACGTAACGTAAAATGCGTATTGTACTTTAATTGCGTGGTTAAGTGCGTGTTATTTTAATTTATATAGTTATCAGTTATGTAAATGTCTACATACGTACGTACGTATTCTTTTTTTATCACTCACTAATTCACATCGATTTACACTGATTCACACTGATTCACACTGATCGATTAGTTAGTTTGTTATTGGTTCTTTTTTCTCATCTTGTAAAAGTAGAAAAGGTAAGAAAGGTAAGTGAATAATTGTTCTATCTTAACCAGCCTTTTTCCTAAAATATCTTACCGCTTACTTTGGAACTTTGCCTGAATTATGAACCAATTATAGCAATATTTCTAAATTAAGGTGAACACATTAATGCTACGTATGTACGTTAACGCTAAATGATGTGATCATGTGACATCCATTAATCAATGATGATATCAAAGATGCATTGCCTGTAGTGATCAAATGTTCGTTTAATTACTTCAATAGCATTCATCATTGGATGCATAATGATTTAATTATAAAAACAAACATGATTCTAAAGAAACAATCTTCAACCTATAGAATACGTATCCTTGACAAGAATATACACGTGTATGGCAATTTAGTAATTGAAATGTGCACCCTCAATTATGCTTAAAGTTCATGATTTTTTTTTTTTTACTTTTTGGAAAAGTAAAATAAACAAATCTTAAAGATCTTAAGGATCTTGAAAAATATATAAACTTCTAATCGAGTTGTCGATTCAAAAAAAAATAATGGATACTATATACTTTAGTATGTGAATAAATCTGTTAATCAAACAAAAATAAATGGATTTTTTTCGCCTTGCACAATATGCTGGAAAGTTGATGTACTTGGAAAGTTGATGTACTTGTAAAAGATGAACAATGGCAAGAGCACTAGCATATATCAAGTAAATGTTTTTAGCTTTATGATTAATTTATTGTATGTAGAATCATCATGTCTCATTCATGTGACCTGCTTTAAAGGCTATAAATTATAATGGAATCAACGAGTATAATCTAGAAAATCAGAAAAATAATAATTAACAATCAGAAAGTTCACTGAAAGAATCTTCTGGTAACTCGCTCTCCGCTATTTTTCGTCGTCTTTCTTCTTTCGCCACAACTCTAGCTTGATGTCGTACTGCTTTAGCCATACGATAATCGCGTCGAATCTATAATGTTGGAAAACCATATTCAGAAATGATCTTATATAAACTTGAATTTCAAAAAAAAATTTTTACATACCTGATTAGGTGAAACAAATTCTGGATTTGCAAATATGGTAGCTCCACTAAAACTACCTTCAAATATTCTAATAACATTAAGGACAAATCGTGGTCCTATCTCCACAAGTGATAAATCTTTATCATTTGGTTTTTTGTTGGGTTCCATTGGATCTTTTTCAATAATCTATTTTTATGAAAAAATATATATAATTACATAGCTAGTCAAATAATATGTAATTTCGGATCGTACCTGAAAATTACGAAACCATATGCGATTATCGGCAATCGTAAAGGAAATGACATGATCAGTAAAAGGTTTTATTCGACGTGCACTTCTTGGAATACCAAAAATCTAAAAATACTTTTATAAAAATATAGTTCTATCAAGAATGATTAATGGAGAATTTTATCGTAATGAAATTTCATACATGAGTAAAGACTTCTTTAATTAATATCCAATGGGGTTCTGAATCAAAAATCTTATCAAAAGAGAGAATCGGGCGGGATCCTTTGAGACAATTGCCTGTCATTTTGAGTTCATCCATGGTGTGAACTATACATAATAATATGACTTTTGTTTAGCCGCAAAATATCAAATTAGAATTGTGAATCTAAAATTATTAAGAATCACGACTTACTGTTTTGGACATGAAATTTAATGCTTGGTCCATTAGGTGTTTTACTTGTCCACATATAGAGATCTTGACGTTTTCGTACTTCGAAAAAGACGCAATTATTGCAATTATTAAGTTCTGCTAGTTCATTAATGATTCCAAGTTTGGACTTTTGATCGAGTTTAGAATCTAGTTAAAATTATCATATTATTACATATTTAGACATTCAGATACATTCAAACATATTAAGTTAAATTCTAATTACATTAATAAAAAAAAAAAAAAAAAGACTATACCTTTCTTAAAATGGGGAAAGAGTACACCAAGATCATTTAATAAGTGTCTCTGTCTAAAACCAGGATAAGTCTAACGGTTTCAACAACGTGGAAATCCAAAAATCTGTCACTTACCTAAAATTTACTCCTCGTGAAGACAAGGCAAGAACTCTTTGTTTATACCGTTTATTCTCAAGTTTCTTTTCCTTAGGATCGTCAGAGTCTTCATCCTCTTGAGTTTTAACTAATTGTTTATATAATGTAGCCATTGAGGAATAGTCTTGGTAAGAATTCAAAGCAAATTCTGTAATTTATATAAATTCTGAATAAAACTTTCGCCGATTATCAAAATCTCTCCGAAAATCTCCCTAAAAATATTTTTCTCCTGACTGTAATTTACAATGCGCGTGTCTTTATTGGTCGATTTCTAAATCATGTGATACCACATTCGGCAATTTTTGCCACATGCGAACGATAGTCAGATGCTTTATTTGGCTGGCACACTCAAATAATACATCTAAATTTCTCAATCAACAGAATGGTATATTACTTTTTTTACTCTTTTCTCTATTTTTTTTTTTTTTTTTTTTTTGTGAATTTACTTCTTTCTTGAATAGCTTCTGAATTACATGACAAGGGACAACATGACGTCCAAAGAACAAGATTTTGACAGAAAGTTGTATGAATTGCTTGAAAGAAAACCACCTGGAATAAGTGCCTCCAAAATAAAAGACTTGACGAGAATAGCAATGACTAGTCCAAAGGTGAGATGAGTAAAGTTAAGCAAGAGATTAGTTTTTTAGAAAGTTCACTCCAGCTGTGGGTTTAAGAGATAAAAGTTTTTATAGAGATACCTTTAAAGAAAAATTTGCGAGGGGTTAAACTTGTTCTTTATTGGTTGAGTAAAGGGATATCCGCAGTTAACATCATATACGGGGGTTAACATAAAAAACGTAGTGAACTATTATCTTTTGGTTGGATCGATGATATTTTCAAAAAAAATAAAATCCTTTTTTTACTTAATATAAAGTCGACAAATTTCATATATTTAATTTCTTTTTTAAAAAAAAACTAAATTAAAAATTATTCCTATTTATGTCCAAAACGAGCAAGTTTAATACATCGATTATGAATAAATTTTGCAAGTCACTAAATGTCTTTTCTGCCTCCGATATTTTAATTATCGCTGAAAAAATTCAGCAATATAAAAACATAGTATACAGCGTACAGAAATTCATTCAAAGATGTTCGGCCGATTACAAGTTAGGAGCATTATATGTATTGGATTCAATATCACAAGCGGCACAGAGACAAAAGACATTGGTTGCTGAAAAAGATAGCGATGGTTCCGCTTGGTCAGGTGCTGAATATCTTGAAAGGTTTGAAAAAATATTAGAAGAAATGTTTTTACACATTATGCAATGTCCAGAACACGACAAGGTAAGGATCACGTGATGCTCATTTTCTTTTTCGAAATAACCAAGGGATAAGTTTGATTGTTATGTAGTGATGCTATAGGTGCAACAATAATTTATCTTGCGCGACACATTACGCCGATCGTCGTATATTTTTAACTATCAAATTCTCCATTATATAATTAAAAAAAAAATCACTGGATTTTATATATTATAACAACAGTAATAACGATCAAAGACAAATAATACATAGATTTATAATTCTCCATACTTTTCTTTATATCATATTTTACATTGTAATCTTACTCATTTTTTGCATAGCTTCCCTTGGTTTACACTGTGGGGCTGTTCGATTGCGTTATCATTTCATGTATTAATTAAAACTCATATAAAAATACAGGACAAAGTGAAACGTGTTCTTGACATATGGCTTACCAAAGATGTCATATATGACAAGGAATTAATTCGAAAAATAAAAGATACCTATTTTTCTCAAAGAACTGTGACAAATCCTTTAGAAAACAATGTTCATGAGTCGCAATCGATAACAACACCAGTATCACATGGAGGTGATCCACGAATGGTTTCTGTGCCAAGTAATGTTTCGTTCATATAAAATTACATATAAAAAAAAAAAATAATTGTACTGGATAAAACGAATCAATCGTGTGATCCAGCTTGGTCTTAATAGTGTTCTTTTCTCTATCAATTATAGATCAGCCAAATATAACGATGTCGACAACTTTGGATTCTTCAGCTTTATTAGCTACACTAAACAATTTAACTCAAGGAACTTTGAATATACCTCCATTTTTGTCATCAAATCCAATAACTGCTGCTACAACGCAACCTATTAATACGTCCATCGCTTTTAATAATGTTGCTACTAACGCGCACGCTGTTCCTCCACAGTTTCCTAATATTACACAACCTTCTGTTTCTGCGAATAACGGTTTTCTACAATCTCCAGTTTCTTCATCTAATTATCAATCAAAAACTGTCACAAATAATTCTGAAACAACTAAACCAAAAGATTCTTTAAACGATCCTCTTGATTTTGATTATGGAGATATGGATGAAGATGAAGATGGTGATATAACTCAATCAGGTGCAAATGGTGAGATAAATAATACTACTAAAGAGGCAATCTTGACGAATCCTATAAACGTGAAACCTATAAATGTGTAAGTAAATACGACTGATTTTTTGAACATTGTGGGAAAGTGTGCGCTAGTTTTTTTTTTAACCAGGTTCCGATAATTTCTTAAACTCTTGCGATTTAATCATTTCTTGAGATTCCTTTTTTCGATTGTAGTTTTTATTTTTCAATTGCAAATATGCATAACCAGAAAAAAAAATTACATATTACAAAGTAATATTTGTATCGGAAGTATGCACAACTGCTAGTTTGTAACTAGTTAATGTGGAAGAAACCGAAAACAATAAAAAAAAATCAAAAAAAAAAGTCGGGCATTCATTCAGTGACAAGTTTTTTTCGAGTTTCACGTGATAATTCATTAGGTTCCATTTGGATGGTAGTTTCATGACAAAATAAAATATATAACGTTCCCCACGAATGGATTATGGACCTTATTGTTAAATTCCCATATTATTTGTTTTTATATTCATGCTTCAAAATCTTTATAGAAATCAATCGGCAACACCTACAGCACAACAACTCAATCAGGATCAAAACCAAAATATGACCAATCAATATTTTCAACCATCTCAAGGAAATCAAACCAATTCTTCACAGTCGGTACCACCACAACCTCCGCCACCAACATCGGCTGCACCATCACTATTAATGTCTGGTCAGCAGCCAATTCCTACTACCAATAATGCTATGCCACCATTTCCGTTCCCACAACAACCTTGGGCAGGGCCTGCGCAGCAACCACCACCACCGCCACCCGGAAATATACCACCCCCTCAAAATCAATATCAACAACCACCGCCATTTCCTACTCAACCATGGAATGGTCAACAAGGACTTCTTCCTCCTCCATCATGGAATCCAATTCCTCCACAACAACATGCTCCACCTGATCATTTTCCGAATAACCAGGCACCTCAGGGTTACCCAATACCTCCTCCAGGTCACCCATTACCCCCTCCGGGTCACCCGTTACCTCCTCCGGGACATTCTATGCCTCCACCTCCAGGACATCTTTTACATCAAGGTCCTCCTGGTCCACCAACACCAGGCCTTCCTGTTCAACATCAAGGTCCTCCACCCGGTCATATGTTACAAGGTCCTCCTGGACCACTACATCAAGGTCCACCCGGACCAAATCATCAAGGTCCACCTGGACCAAACCATCAAGGTCCACCTGGACATATGGAACTCCCTGTTGGAATACCACAAGATGATTGTATAGCATACGCAGATCCAAATGTCGGAAGAGATTTTATTAAAGGTAATGACCTTTATGTGTTATATATGTCGTCTACGAATTTAATTGGTTACATGTTACACGAATTTGATCTTTAAATTTATTTATTTATCTAATTATTTATTTACTTATTTATTTATCTATTTATTTTACAGTTCTAAGTCGAACTCTTTACGTAGGTAGTGTAACAGAGGATTTGACCAGAGGCGTTATGGAGAAAATATTTCTTAATTATGGCAGAGTGTCTACTATTACGGTAATCTTATTATATCAGATTATAACAAAAATATAATTGATTAAAAATACATGTAAATATTAATAATATTAAATCAAATCAGATTAATTATGATAAAAATCATGCTTTCATTAAAATGGAAACACGAGCAGGTGCTGCCAGAGCACTTCATAGTCTTAAAATGCAAGTAAGCCAAAAGGGTAAACAAAATTGCAAGATTACGGTGGTAAGTTTCAAATGACAGTATAAGATCTGTTATGAAAATAAAACTCTGGATCAAGAATAGGAAAAAAAATAAATAAATAAATAAATAGTTTGAATTAATGAATTCATTATTCAACTATTTTTTTAACGGTTATTCTTATTCTTGATACATAATCAGAGTTTGTTATGTTGAACAGATTTCACGTGATAAATATATTATCTATAATACATTTATATTATTTTTATTATGATTCATAATATTCATAACTTTCTAACCTAAACTATTAATTTTAAGGTACGTTGGGGTGTAGGTTTCGGACCTAAAAATTGCTTTGATTTTGATTCGGGAGAATCTTTAATTCCACTTAACAGACTTACAGAAACAGATCGTAAATGGTTATTTACTAGTGAGAGAGGTGGTACTGGTGGAAGGGATATAGTTGGGGGAATTGTAGTTGAAGAACCGGACATTGTAATTGGTGAAGGATTCTCTAGTGGTTCAGGGAATAAAAAATTAGGGCCTCAACATGAAAGTACGCGTAAAGAAAGGCGCAGAGGACATGATAAAGGTGATCGATCATCTAATTCATCTGATTCTAGAAAGTATTCGGATGCATCTTGGGAAGGTTCATCTCCCAGGCGTCATACAAGTAAATGGGGAGATACATCGAATGATTCACCTTTTCAGGGAACAGCATCTCCTCCTTCACAAGAACATTTACCTGCGCAACAACGCTCACATTCGTTTTCTCCAGGTTTATCACCACGAACACCTGATCATTTACCACAATCAGAATTCGGTAGTTCAACCTTACAATCACAAGAACAACACTTCCAACAAAGACGAGAACAAACTCCACAAACTTCTCATAAAAGAGATTATTTTAATTCTCATGGAGATACACCAGCTCGTGAAGGTAAAAAAAGTCGATGGGATAAATGAAAATGAATACCTAGCATATTAGTTATAGCTTCATTATTAGCAATAATATTTTGAAAAATGGTTTCTTTGAAAGAACAGTTTAATTCGTTTAAGTGGATTATAATCATGAGGCCTTTTTATTTAGTTCACTTATCCCTTTTTTTTTTTTATAAATATATATAAAAAAAAGGGTATTTTGTATATACTAAAAAAAAAAAAAAAATAGCCAGTGATAATTTTTTTTTTTTATAGATTCAGAAAAAAGATTTCCTTAGTAAATCAAGCTTTTATTTTGATTATCATAAAAAACGAAAAATACGATAAATTGATTTCAATTTTTTTTTTAATGTTTTGTGAATAATGTTTTGTTGTTTTCCATTTTGTAGTTTCTTTGTTTTCGAATTCAATAGTTTCTTGCTTTCGAGTTTAGAAATTCAGTTGACAGTTATTAAAACTATGTAAAATTGTTTTAAGATTTCTCGATGATTTTTAGATGAAGACCAATTGAATTTCTAATTTATATAAAAAATACATATAAATAAATAAAAAGACTTTTGCATGGCGATTAATTCTTTTGTTTTGGATATATTATAATCAAATTTTTTTAATTATCATTACAAACTAAAAATATATATATAATTATTTAGATTCTCAAAATGAAGTGTAAATTTGTTTTTTTTTTTCTACAACGAAATAAAAATATAATAAAAAGAATGCATACATGCAGATTATGTAAAATCTATGTACAAAGAAATATATTTAAGTAAAATGTATATTTAAAATTTTCATCAGTTTCATTGACCTATGGATCTCTATTTAAACCCGCTGAGCCACTTTCTTATTCCAATCGTTTACTATGCTTTCGAATTTCAAATTCAAAAAGCAGAGAATTATGATTCGATAAAAAAAAATGTGGCAGACTAAAATGAAATCAGATTAAAATGATTCTGATTAGAAGTTTATGTGTTGTAGTAACGTTTTTTGGGTGAGGGTTTTGGTTAGGGTTAAAATTTAGGATTTTTAATAGAAAAGTGGATTTTAGAGGTTTATAAAAGAGATCCCAAAATTCATTTTAATCTGATTTCATTATTATTAAAATGCTACATATAATATCCATACAAAAAAAAAAAAAAAAAAAAAAAGGTTTTAAATAAAAGTTTAAATAGGCTCGCGTTACTGAAAAAAATTCGTCAAAGTTGTTGTGTCTATAAAAACTTAAGTTACATATTATAGTTTGTTATTGAAAAAAAAAATTTTTTTATATAGTAACGGGTATTTTTCAGAGTATTGGGGTACTATTCATTGAACTTTGACACAGTGTATATCTCATAGGGGACCTACTGCATGGCACTTTACGGTGTTTCACTACCTTTTGCCACTTTACTACCTTTCTCCAGTTTCGCCACCTTTCGCCATTTCGTCTTTAACTTCTTTTTGCCGAAAGTCGAAACTAGGTTTCGCCTTTCGCCAATGGCGAAACCTCTAGGGTTCGCCTAACAACTGTAATCCCAATTATTCTTTAAATTCGATTAAAGAAATTGGAGACTGGGCGAGGTTGAAAGAGATAGATATCGAATGTCTATAAAACTTAAGACCACATATATAGCCTACAATGTTGACTGATTATGTGTTGGTCCAAAGGATGAAATGTCATTACCATCGTCATCTATTGTGTTTATTGAAAAAGTTAATGCCATACTGGACAAAGGAGTGTGAGTCTCTTCTGGCATCGTGGGTGCATCAGAAACAAAATTGGATCCAGTGTTCAAAGCTGGCAAAGCCGACACACCTACAAATGTAGATGGAATCACATAATTATTGCCAGCAGTATATATTGAATCTATTGGTCCAAATGGATGAGAATATAATGGTGGAGCTGATGGACCGTAAAAATTATAAGGCGGTGGATCAGATGAATTTATTGGAGGAGTAGAAAAATTAGATGCGCCAGCATCTGGTAATTCATTATGAGGTGCTATTTCTTCTGCAGATGGAGCAGTAGGTACTATTGAAAGATCATAAATTGATGGATATGGTGGCATAGTCAATTGAGACATTGTTAATTGTTTTTTATCTAAATATTCCTCTTTAACATTATAAACATCCGCATTCAAGTTATTATTAATAATGTTGTCATTAATGACAACTGTCACACCAATATTTGTTCCATCATCAGATTTGTCTTGAACATCATCCATATTTTTATCATTTATACCAATATTCTTATCTCCCCCTCTACTTTGATCATTATTATTCATTGTATATTGTTGCCGTACTTTCCAGAATAGTATCGCTATTGCAATCGCTACCAAAACAAGTGAAGCACCAAGCGAACAGAGAACGACAATTATTTTATGAAGGGTATCCTCTTCCTCTTGAAGTTTTTGGGCATCAATGTCTGACGTTCCGACTATGACTGATGGTTGTGGGAGAGGAGTAGAGCTAGAACTAACATTCTTAGTTGAAGTGTATGTCGGTTGGTCGTCGTCTCTACTGTGCTCACTACTCATTTTTTTTGGTCTAAAATTCGAGGGCTCTTCGGAGGATGAATCGTTTGAAGACACCGCAATTACATCCTTTTTTATTAACTTGGTGTCAAATCCTGTGGAGGTGTCTATGTCAACGTCTCTTTTGTTTTTGTTCATGCTTGACAGAGTTAGGAAGGTCATCGAGGAGGAACTTCTTTCCAGTTTGTTTCGTAAAAATATGGAGTATACAGGAAAGAGCATTCCAATAGCAATCGTTACCAAAGTAATAATAATAACGAAGCGACGAAGCTTCATTATTTTTTATTTACAACTAATATAAGAATTTGGAATTATCAATACTGTCACCTTTAGTTTTTTTTTTTTTTTTTTTTTACACCTCGTTAGAAATTTGATAATAAAAAATAATAATAATTAATTTTTAAAACAAATTTCGTTAGTTTTTCTTTAACGAAGAAATGAGTCGTTTCTTACAAAGAAGGTAGCAAAAGGTTAGATGAAAATGGATATTATGAGTTATAATGGTTATGAACGGAACTGCATGGTGTAAATATAATAATAGCGATACCGATAAAAGTATCGTTATTATTAACATTAAGGGAAAACTAATTTCCTTAACAGTCATGACAAAATTAATTTTTATACACTGTGATTTGATAAAAATCTATTTATAATTAAAATTAAGCATCCTGCTTTTCATTATCTAAATTATAATTCCTTTTTTTTCTAAAAAGATTTCTATCGAATGTGTTGGATATGATAGGCTGTTCAAACTCTTCAAGAAAAAAAAAATATGGTCCTCTATAAACATAACCCTTTAACGTGTCAACATAATATTATATGTTACGTCGATATTAAAAATGTGACAGTAATTAATCAGGTAAGTTCCGCAAAGGCCAAAAAAATTAATTTTGAATCTATTTTTAGAAAAAAAGAAACATCGCTATAGAAACTTTATATTTATATCAAAATGGATCACGTGATGGATGACAATAACGCCTTAACGTTAAATCGTAATTTATAATTCATCTATATTTAATGTGTTAAATTACTTTATTAGTAACAAGAGATCATTGTCAGTAAGACAAAAATTTATCAATGATCTTTAATCACGCATTGGAAGAACGTAATAGTGCAACTTCACATTTGAAGGCGGTCTTGATCACGTGCAAATGCCGGCATTTGTTGTGTAAAGCTGATATTGTGCAAACCTATTATACGTACAAGGAGAATGTATACCGTAAATGGTCGTATATAAGATCCCTCTGATGCTCTAGTAGACTCACCATGTATTATCGCTACCCAAGCATGAGCTCACTAATCAAATACTGCTTTTTTCAAAAACTATAAAATTCCTTTTACAATATAAACTTGCTGTATGCTATACTCGGTCTATTAAGGGCATTAAAGATTTAAAATTGGTAATGAATGCGACGAATCTGGCCTTGCATACAACCATTCATACTTGTTTTAATATTACATTGATCCGTAATATTTTTGACATAACGTAGTGCTGCGGGAATGTCTATTATGTTTCGAGATACTTTTGCTAACTTTTTTTTTAAAAAAGGTAATGTTAATCAATTCATATATAATTCAGTTCTCTAACGTACAAATTACTTCAACAGATTTTGAAACATACCTGCTACAAATCAAATCAAAGGAGTATCATGCAATTTTACATATGTACGTACGTACATAGCATTATATCCGAATAAAAATCCACCACTATAGCGATAGTGGATGAATTCATTGACTTTAATTTTAACCAAGCTAACTCTAAATCGAGCCATTCTCTAACTATCGTGTAAATAAGATTCACCGATACCGGATAGAGCCTATTGTTTCGCAACATGACACAATAATAAGGGTATTAAGGTGTGAAGATTCAATATTACCGTAAAATTGATTAATACCCCTTGGGACCATAAATTTATTATTCAAAATGGTTCAAATTGACGGTAGAGTATTTTAACAAAGGGTACTATTTACATATTCAAAATTTTAATTTGATTACATCTTACGTACGTATCAGTATCTAGTATCAGGCTCATAGGAAGACATTCATGTGATTGGTTAATCTTTGGCGATCTACCCGTGATTGCCCGTGATAGTTAACCAATCAAATCGTGCAAAAAATTTTTGGCGGGATAATTAGTTTATCGTTATCATTAGCAAACTTAAAATTTTCGATTTTATTGCCTTTAGAACATAGAAATTAGATAGCACCCTTCATATTCATATGTTAGGTCCAAAATATAAGTACCAGGGCACAAAATTTCCGAATGCCGGAAGATGTTTTTTCTCCGGCGGCGTTTATTTTAACCGGAACTTAGAAAACTCAGTCGGATGTAGCAGTTTTTTAATAAAGATATTGTAATATTTATTGATATTTATATACATACGTATATATGATATCATATTCGGAAAATTTCCGACTGATGAAAAGTCAAGGCGGAAATTGTCATGACGAAACGGAAATCTCCGAAATTTTACAATAGATTTTGTGCTCTGATAAGTACCAACAAGCAATTTACGAATCACAAATTAGACTACATCGTTTAATGTTCAAGACTAGATTGATTATATAGTACAGTTTACGCTCGAGATAAATTTTTGTATAGCGAATATTTTGAAGTAACGAAACTTTTTCGCATCATAATTGTGTCTGAACATGTAATTTGTCTTCTGGTAGCCGAATATTTTCATATAGCGAAAATAATTTAGAATATGGACTTCGCTATATCGAGCTTCAACCGTATATGTAATAACAATTCGTATTTATAAGCCATTTAATAAAAACAATTAAGTAATGTATTCGTAATAATTTAATTTAATAAACATCATATATTAAAAATAATAACAAATAAATAAATAAATAATAAAAGATTATTCAATAATGCAATAAGTGAAATTTTTGTAACGCTTCTTCTAATTCAAATGCTGAATATTTTACCGTCCCACATTTGTTATCCTTATCATTACCAAGAGAACTATTATCACATTTTTAATCCGTTTCTTAGAAGGTTTTAATCCTTTTAAAGAATCTAGCAAGGATTGAACCTGTTCATCAATGTCTTCTTGTAAAAATGTAAGACAATATAAACATTTGGATCTGTTGCTAATATAGCAAGACTTATGATATGTGTGACCACAAGTTAAAGCTATAATCATATCTGTATTATTAAGTAAAAGAGAAAAAAAACAGTTAACCATATCACAATAGCAAAAAGGATCAGGTTTGTGTGAAGTACTAAAGCCCAAGAGAAGATAACACAATTGTGCCTCTGGCATTTACATTGTGGCTAATAAAATAGTAACATAATTAGCTTATTTTTTCTTTTTTTTTTTTAGAAGATAAATCTGAATCAACTTGTAATTGATATATTAATGAAATCCTATAATAAAATAATTGGATATAAATTTCTGAAAAACACTATAAGAAAAAACATATTTTTTTCTTTGTTAAAATTGTAATATCATGCACAGAATATTTATAGGTTGCTCATGTCGATGTATATGCAAAATTCTCTCTAAAACCATTATCTTCCAAATGTAATTGATTGATATAATGTTTATACTTGATAATTTGTTATGTTTTTGTATACTTTTGTGTACTTCAATGTAAAAGGTTATAAAATATCTTAATAGTTGAATTTGGAAACTTAGAAAGTTCTACTCTTATTATTTCTAAGATCAGATGGTTGTGTAGTTCTTAGTAAAAGATATTGAAGAGATACATTAATGGTGCCTTTGAATAATTCTTGTAGTTAAACCTAAAAAAAATTAACCAGACACAAAAGCAAGACTCAAAATAAGCATTAAAATCATCAGATTAAAAAAATACAATATAAACATCTAAAACAAGAGAAATCATGTTGTTCAAAAGCTCCTTAAATGCAAGATATTCAGCATCTTTGTATAATAATCCAAACTTTGTCTCAATAATTGCAGAAATTTCTTATTACACATTATGAGAAATTTCTAAAAGAAAGTTAATATGCTATAGCTTAGAGTTTTGTGTAAGAGATTTTGAATTTTCAAAAACATAATGATACAATGCAAAAAAAAAGGCTGATATTGAAGAAAGACTAATTCTCAGCTATTTAATAAAATATATAAAAAGCCTATAATAGAAAAAAAAGATAAAATATTATTAGTAATATTTGATAAATCATAATACTATAAATAATATGAAATAGTCATTCAAAAATAAATCTGTCTAGGCCAATCATTTACAAGAGAAATTGCATATTCTTTATCAAAATATTGATATAAAGATGGAACTCTATAACAATATTAATTGCTTTAAGATATTCTTCCATAAAATAAAGATCATTTTCTTGCAAATCCACAAGAACAATATCTTTCATTGAATAAATATGCCATTTTTCTTTTAATCTAATATCATAAGAATACACAGTTAATTCCTTTAATTTTGTATTATCATTTATCATGTGAAATTTTCAATGTTAGTTATATGAAAAATTATAAATAGTCATAAATCTATCTTTTATATTTTTTTTAATTAATTCAGTATCAACTAGTACAGAATTGTGTAAATTTATTCTTAGAATTGCTAGCTGAGTAGTAATCAGATTTATGAGGATTGTTGTCAAGTGTGCAGCAGCTGATGTTGTAATAGTATCTAGAACATGTTCTGTGTGAATACTGTAATAGTCATCAATATTCAACACCATCATTTTTTTAGCATATTTTTTAAACTCTAAATTGATAATTTCTGTATATTCTTTAGATACAGAATTCTTTTGTTATATAATTGTACAAGATGTAGTGGTTATACCTAAATCTGCAAGAGTATCTATAGAAATGTTAGAAGCACCAGTCAAATCTAAACACAATGCTAAATCCCTTTTAAAATTATTAACAAACTTGTTTTAACTCTATATAAAAAATAACAAAAATAAAAGTTGTTTTTTTACTTTTACTTGTGAATTCTTGTTTTTTTAATGTTGGATTAGATGAAAGATATAATTCTTCAAAAAAATTTTTTAATCTATTATCTTCTCCTTCTATAAATTCCTGGAATTCATCAAATATATATATGATTTGTTTTTTTTTAATATTTTTATGAATATATAAAATTTTTATCATCATTTCTATCACTTTAGAAAAAGACAAATGATCAGTATTTTTATCAGCCTTGTCAATTTCTAATTGCTATATATAGTAAATACTTTCAGTTTCACTAACACCAAATTTTTCATTTTCAATTACAACAGTCTCAATAGTTTCAGATAGTCCACTTTCAATTTCAAATCACTCTGTAGCTTGAA